TTTTAAGGAAAATTGCTATTGAGCATAAGCAACTACGAACTAGACTTATCCAGAAAGTACCAACTCGTTGGAATTCTGACTTGAGGCAGTTAAAATCCATTATGGATCTAAAAGGATGCTTGTTTATTATGGCAGAAACGTCAACTAAAATTGAAGGTTGGTTGCCCACTGTTGTAGAAGCTATTATTATTAAAGGTGTTATTGAATGTGTTGATCCTATCGATAAAATTTCACAAGTTTTAAGCTCTGACAAAGACCCAACTATCAACTTGGTGATATTGAAAATCTATAATCTTTAGAAAAAATTAACTAAAATTGGAAAACTTACATGTGTCACGAATATAACTCAAGCGCTAATAGCAGGATTGCAACAACGTTTTCCTGATTGTGGTCATAAAGTACCTGAGTATTCAATGGCACATTTTCTTGACCCAAGACAAAAGAGATCAATCATTTGTGCACTTGATGAACAAAGATTTGAAAACATCAAGGATACCGCTACTCAAGCTATAATTGATATGCGAACTTATCGTTTTTTTAAAAATCTTATCGTTTAGTAATAATAAACTTATCGTTTATTATTACTTATCGTTTTTTTAAAAGTAAATTAAAAACCCTAATTTTTTCATTAGAAGACGTATTATGTTATTATTAATAATATAAATTAATAACTTTGCCTTTTCTTATTTATATTTGTAAAAAGTTTATTCTTACTTATTTTGTTGATTTTATATTCTTTACTTCACGTATACGTTTATATAAAATATTGGTGAGTAGATCCGCGTGATCTCTCTTTGGATTATAAAATATATATTTGGATTATTATAAATGAAATTTGTAAAAATTTGATACTGTTAATGCTTGTTTGAACTTATTTAAGGTTCTGACGACAAGATCCTTTGATCTTCTTTCAGATACCTTATTTTATATTTGTAAAAGTTTATTATTATTATCATTATTTTTATTTAATTTTTTTGGCAATATATAGTTGTAATACGACCAACAAATGTAAAATTAAAAAAAAAAAAAAAAAATATGCGCCGAAGAGATGTTTGAGAAAGTCCAACATGCATTGAAAACGTTACCCAATCATCCAAAAATTATAATTCGTCCGATGAAGAAGCTTTAACTGTTGCTGTAAAGAAGCTGTATGGGCAAAATAAAAATAAAAACACTGAGAAAAATTGTCCGTTAACTTATGCCAAATGCGAGATAGCACGGTATGTCGATGAGTTGCAAACGACAACGCAGATATTATTGAATATTGGAAGACTAACCGTACAAGATTACCTTATCTCAGCGGACTAGCAAGAAAGACCTTGTGCATCTTTGCATCATCAGCAACCTCGGAACGAGTATTTTCAACTGCTGGAAATGTTCTAACGGAAAGAAGAAATAGCCTTAGCACTGACAATATTGAAATGATGGTTTTCATGAAAGAAAACCTGAAGAAGATGGAAAATATCACCTGGCCGATGTTTGAAGAAGATGTCAATAAAAAATAAGAAAATATGTACAAAAAATATAATTTGTTATACATAATGAATTATTTTTTTTCATTGTTATTTTTAATTAAAATTTTTCAATTATTCTGAAAAGTTGATAATATTACCATCAGAAGGCCTGCGGCAAGTATACAGGAACGTACAGAAGAGAATTTAAAAGGGGGTAAAAAGAGGGGGGTGAAGGTACTCGGTTTTTGATATTTGCCGACTGAAGGTCTAAGTTGGCCGGCTATTTTTTTCAACTGGTAAAAATGGTCAAGGGGGGGGGGGTTACTAACCCTACGCCCCCACCTCCTAAGGACGTCCCTGCAAGTATATACAATCTATGCCACATTGCCATAGTGGGTGTTTAATAATATTTTTATATATTTTTTCATTATCCTGTGATCTATATTAGAGATCACAGGATAATGAAAAAAATATTATTAAACACCCACTTCGGCGATGTGGCATAACTAAATCATAAAAATGTTGTAGATATATCTGAGCTGGTAACTAATATCCTAGTTAAATGAAACGTCTTCTTTTTTTTAATGAGTATATTTGTTACTACTTATTTGCTGAACGATTATTTTATTCGTACAACGAATAAGCGGGAACGAATATATTTGTTTAACGAATATTTGTTAAGCATTAATTTTTGAACAGTTATTATTTGTTCAGTATTTGTTTAACGAATAAAATGAAAACGAACGAAAATTCGTAACCCTTTAACGAATAAGCTTAAAAAAACTCGTTTATCAAATAACCGTCGCGCTCTAGTTATAACTGCTGTTAATGATATAATTTTGTGTTACCCACTATTGGTAAATTACAACATAAATAACGCTTATAACTATATTTTAACGTTTTTACTCAAACATATGTTCTTCATTAAAGCGACGTTATATTATTTTAAATCAGTACTATTTACTATTTTACTTTTAAATTAAATAAATTTTATCTTGCTAAAAATTTTTATAAATAATTTTTAGAAAAATTAATTAAACAATTTACCATTTGTTCCCTCTTGAACGAGCGCAATTTTATACTCTCATTACAAGTTGAACGAGCGTTTTTTTATTGCGCCTAAAAGTTTTAAATATTCCATTTACGGACGTATCATTATATATGCGCATACACGCAAATCATTGAGCAAAACAAAATGGGAAGGTAAAATATAAAAGGGAAGGATTGATGCTTTGAAAACTATAACATACCAGCTAGGCAGGGCCGTCCCGAATGGGGTGTAAAAGGTGTCCCACCCGTTGAATATGAAGCTTAAGACAAGGCACCACAAGATCCTAGACAGAATTAGAAATAGACAGTAGAATTCTTCTACACTATGAAAGCAACATATTGAATATGTTGGTACCAAAGTTTCCAAAAATATTGGAATTCATTACAAGGTCAGAATCTATATACATAAGAAAGTTTTATCCCGACTTTATTATGCATTCATTCATCGCTATTATGCAAATATATAAATCAGAAAAAAGAAAGTGATATTCTCTCAACCTTAGTCGTAATATGTGTAATTAATTTTGCTGATCGTTTTTCTCACTCTAAACAACTTTTTTCTGAAATGAGATGAACTTAAATATTTACAAACTCAATATTTTTAATATTTTATGCTTTGTATATATACGTAAAAATAATATTTCTCCTGCCATTAATAACCTACTTACCTTACTGTCTATAATGATCTATTTACCTTGAAATCTACCGATAAATATTCTCTGAGAAATACCAACCTTATATTTGAGAAATATCAACCTCCTTTTGTCGAACAAGATTTAACCAATTTTGCATTGATTATTGTGCATCCCATTTTCGGAATAAAATCGGTTTGTCTAATTTTAATTTTGATCTATCTACTTCCTTACATCTTTTCAAAATTAAGCTGAAAAATCTTTTACTCTCCTATATAATTAAAATTTGATGATAACATTTATATAATGAAAATATTTATTAAACTTTATTACCTTACAAAGTGATAGTACAAAAATATTTATTAAACTTTATTACCTTACAAAGTGATAGTACAAAAATATTTATTAAACTTTATTACCTTACAAAGTGATAGTACAAAAAAATTTATTAAACTTTATTACCTTACAAAGTGATAGTACATAAAATTTATTAAACTTTATTACAAAGTGATAGTACAAAAAAATTTATTAAACTTTATTACAAAGTGATAGTACAAAAAAATTTATTAAACTTTATTACAAAGTGATAGTACAAAATAATTTATTAAACTTTATTACAAAGTGATAGTACAAAAAAATTTATTAAACTTCATTACAAAGTGGTAGTACAAAGTGATAGTACAAAAAAATTTGAATATCAAGTACCAATTTTTTTTTTTTGATAATGCAATTATACACAATCATACAGCGTCTGTGGCAATATTTGGCAACAGATTTTTCTATATTTTAGGATTTCTTAAAATGTAGAAACAATGTACTTGACATTTACTTAAAAATTAGACTTAATTAAACTATTAAACATAAATTCTTTTTGCATAAAATGTTATTAAGTTATAAAGATGAATTACTGAAAATGAAATGCAACATTTACTGTTATTGTATTGGAATATTGCAATAACATTTTTTCTTGGATGTTGTTATTTTATGAACATGAATTACAATCCAATATTTATATTGAATTGCAATACAATATTAATGAATTACAAATATTTATTGTTATTTTATTGCAGTATTGCAATAATCTTTAATCTCAGATATTTTTACTGTTTCTAAAAAAATCATACAATAACAATAGTTATTGTTTCTAAAAAACAACACAATAATAATAGTTATTGTTTCTAAAATAACTATTAATAACAACAGTTATTGTTTGTAAAAAAATAACTCAATAATAATAGTTATTGTTTCTAAAAAAAAACACAATAACAATAGCTATTGTTTTAAAAAAATAACACAATAGCAATAGTTATTGTTTCCATTAAAATTTTGCATGACGGAAATGATTTGCATTCGCCCCCAAAACTTTTTTTCCCTGCAGAATGTTATGGTTTCTGCATCCTTTGGGTCCCGCGTACCGATATACCAAAATACTTTAAAGATTTTTGGTGAAATTGACAGAAATGTTGTATTTTGACAACTATATTTAAGTAATATGCACCAGCAGAACAAGACTAAGAGTGAATTAACGCACTTTAAAAAAAAATTCTAAACAAAAAATCAAGTGATCTCAAGACTCAAAAATGGTTATTACAGGTAGTATAAAAGTTATAAAAATTAAATAAAAAAGAGGAAAGTTTCTTTAAACATTATATAAACCTAAAACAAAAAAACATCTAAAGATCTTGCTTGGACATAACACGCTAACAAAATCATGCTAATTGCAAATAAAAGAATTCGAATAATTTAAAAATCATCTTAATTACACAGAGAATTTAAAGATAATTCAGGTGCAAATATTGAAAACATTTAAGTTGCGTTTTCTATGACTTATTAACTATTAAAAAAAGATTTTGTTAGAGTTTCTTAAAACTATCGTATTTATGTTTCATATTCAAAATTAACTATCGTAATTAAGTTTCATATTCAAAATAAAAAACCGTAAATTTTGCTTCAATGCAATTGTGTTTAGTAACACTTAGTGTTACTACTACGCATAACCATAAAAAAGACATACGCTTAAATATAATTTTTGTTAATAACTTCATTAAATTTATTTTACACTAAATAAAAAATAATTTTTGAACATTGAACACATCTAGGAAAATATTTATAAAAAATGTCATTCTGAAATTATTTATATATTTGATCGTTTTTTAATTTCAAATAATTTTTTCTGCTATTAATAGCTTGATTAATCCACATTATTTCTAAACACAGATCTTCTCTTGATAATGTTGAAGTATCTTCAACGGCTGTTGTTCCATTTTCTTTGTTAAACGATTTATTAGATAACCAGCTATCCGATAAGACATTTCCTGAACTTAAAGGAATATTTTTTAGAAAAGTTTCTTTTAAAGGTGAACTGCTATGTTGAATATTGAACTCAAATTGCTTCATATTTTTATTGGTTTCATTTTTATCTTCAAAATTTTTCTTACCACATTGTGCTAGAGTTTTTGAATTTTCATATATGCCACCGTCATCATTATTTTCAAAATAACTTTCTTTTTGAAAAGAAGGCATACATAATGAATAATACGGGAAAAAGACGTTTGATTTTTTTCCTACCGTATTGTCAATGTGCTTTACGATACTTATAAATTCGTTCCTCGTTTCGAACAACTTTTTTCGAACTTTGTAACCTCGCCATACTTTTTGAATAATTAAAATATGATTTATATCAAAAGACATGCCTTATTGCAAAATAAAAGCTAACATTCTACATATAGTAGACCAGTTAAATCATATTGTTAAAGAAGAATAGTTTCACAACATGAAAAGTACGCAGATTTTGCGAAAAAATACCAAAAAAATGGTAGGCTTTTTTTTTTGAAAAAAAAAAAAATAATAATAATAAAAAAAATTTCGATCAACTCCGTTTTATGATAAAAAAATTTAATCTTCTTTAAGCCAAATCTTTTGTTCAGCACTGATTATATATAAAACAGTAAACATGTATAAATAAAACCCTAAATATTGAAATAAAATTAAAAAAAGTGAATATTATAACATAGTGAACAATAACATAGCATAGTTGTTCGTTGCTGTTTCTAAAAAAATGTTGACTAGAAGTACTAAATTATTAAAGTTGGCAAGAGATCATCATTTTTTTATATCAAATTTTATAATACTAGTTTTTTAATAAAAAAAATCCTCGACTGAGGTGCAATAGATATTTGTTTTTGTTATAAATTAACTTGGGTATCTGTCGGGATTATTCTGGATATACAATGATAGAAATATAAAGCTAACACAACTACAAGAAATAATTTAAGTAATTTTTTTAAAGAAATCAATTCGCTGTTTGTGTGTATTTATAAACACACACACACACACATACACATATATATAAATACAAAGACACACACACGTATGTATATATATTAGGGTTGAAACTTTTTGGTATCGATAATTCCTGAAAAATCGATGAATTTCGGTTTAATATTAACTGAAAAACCATTTGTTTCATCTACTTTTAAAAAAAGTTACCCCACATCACTCTATTATAATCTGGGTCCCATTTATCAAGAAATCTTATTTTCCCAAAATGTATAAAACTTTGGTTTAAAAAAAAAAATATAACTAATTTTAGTTATTTTCAAAACAAAGTTCACCTATTTTTCATTCAGGAAACAGGGGATACCAAAAAGCTTAAACTTATATTATATATATATATATATATATATATATATATATATATATATATATATATATATATATATATATATATATATATATATATATATATGTATGTATATATATACATATATATATATATATATATATATATATATATATATATATATATATATATATATATATATATATATATATATATACATATATATATACATATATATATACATATATACATACATATATATATACATTTGTGTATATATATATGTATATATATATGTATATATAAATATGTATATAAATATTTATATACATATATATGTATATATATGTATATATATATATATATATATATATGTATATATAAATATGTATATGTATATTTATATATATATATATATATATATATATATATATATGTATATATGTATATATACATATATTTATATACATATATTTATACACACATATATATATATATACACATATATATATATATATATATATATATATATATATATATATATATATATATATATATATATATATATATATATATATATATATATATATATAAAATCAGCAAGTGTATTTTACAAAGACTCAATATTCTTAAAAAACATGCATGTATGCCAATAATAGAATAAGTAAATCTAAAAAATTAATTTTCCTTCTTCGAGAAAAATAAAAAACTAATGCCGATCACAACTAGTTTTATTCATCATAATTAATAACCCAATATATTATTTGTATTAATAATAGAGTTATCGAAAAAATAAAAATGGCAAATTTAACGCAAGAAAAAAGTGTGTTATATATATATATATAATATATAATATATATATATATATATATATATATATATATATATATATATATATATATATATATATATATATATATATATATATATATATATATATATATATAGTTCAAGAAGAGGAAATGGCTTAAATAACAAGAACCATGAGACTGAAGACGCATATTTTTGTGCGTCTAAAAAGAAGCCTTGATATGCTACTGAAAACGCATTTCAGTACAAAGGTTTTTGTTTTAAATCATTAATATCAAACACCATAGAGTGTTACGTATTGTAGTATCACGTTTTGTTAATTCAACAGTGTTGAAGTTTAAAAGAATGTACTACATGTATATCTTATGGAAATCATTGTTACCAAATGTTGCATTACACTTTGGACATTTGCGCTGTCTTGTATCATATCTTGTTTTTAAGCACTCAAAGCAAAAAACATGAAAACATTTTGTTAATATTGCATCTTTACCATGGGTATTACAGCACGGACAAGTTAGTTTTGCCTATAAAATAATAAAATATATGGTGATAATCATCATCATAAACTATTTACAAATAGCAATATAACAAAAAAAAAAACAACCTACTAAAAATAAAATAAATACTACTACTGCTGCTGCTGCTACTAGTACCACTACTAACTGTTACGACGAATGATCAATTTTTATGACCATGTTCTTTATGATTATTAAATCATAAAATCATAAAACACATGAACACATGAGTAATACGATGATGATAATGAAAATGACAACAAAAATAGTAGATTTAAAAAAGAAATCCTTACCTTATACATTTTCACTTCTTCAACTAATATTTCATCTGATGCACCAAGATATTCCATCTTTTTCAACTTTTTCTTAAATGCTATATTCTCTTCTTGTATCCGATTATATTTAAAAGTTTCTTCCTCCAACTGGTTGCTTTTTTCAATCAAACTAGTTTTAACCTATATATATATATATATATATATATATATATATATATATATATATATATATATATATATATATATATATATATATATATATATATATATATATATATATATATATATATATATATATATATATATATATATATATATATATAATTTAAAAAACAGGAAAAATACAGTTCTGAAATATGGTTTCTCTTAATACTTAATTTTTTTTTATTTTAGAAACTTTAGCTTGGTTGTGGATACCAGCATCATCAGTTTGTTAGATATTACAGTAATTTTTAATAGTTACAGTTTATAAAAAATTGTTACTAATGATGACTGATTGAATGGCTTTATTTTAAATTAACAACATCTTGTTATACAATATATATTTGAAGTTGAAAACGAGACAACACTTAATTTTCTCAATATAACCATTATAAATAAAAAAAATAAGAAAATTTAAACAAAAAGTATATTGAAAAAAGATGATCTGAAAATTTTAAACGTTATTTTTAAACGTTCTTCACAGAGCTTATGTAAAATATTTCTTCACAGAGCTTATGTAAAATATTTCTTCACAGAGCTTATGTAAAATATTTCTTCACAGAGCTTATGTAAAATATTTCTTCACAGAGCATTCATTCAGAGCTTATGTAAATCTGCAATCTGTAGTAAACCTTGCAAAGCAAATTAAATTTTTTTAGCTGGTGTGATCATTGAAAATTGGTTTAATAAAAAAGCAAATGAGAAATATTAAACATCAATTTCAGCAAAAAATACAGAATAAGGAAATAATTCTATCAGAGTGCAATAATTTCCTTATAGTGTATTTGCCATGAGTATCAGGCCTTTCACCAAAGCCTAAAAAAATATTCAGAAAAACTGGATGGCATTTAAATCAAACACAAATTTAAAATCTCTATTAACATCAAAAAATAAATTGCATTGCATAGTAACAGTAATAATAGTAATCTTATTATATAGAGCCTGGAACCCACATAATAAGACAACAACTATTCTAAAGTGCATACAGGTGAAACTGGTGTTTCTCAGTGTATACAAGTGAAACCAATGTTTATCAAAGGTGATAGTAAACATTAAAAGTGAATTAATAGCAGGTACCACTTAGTAAAAATTAGGTATAAAACTTAAAATCTGATTTTAATGCAGTTTTTAATAGAGAAAATACAAGTAGGATCGGTTTCAAGCTGTAGGTAGGTAAGCATTACTTTTCTGTATAGTTCTTCATCATTTGTATTTCTGTCCAGAGTGAAAATTTATGGTTTCAAAATTATAATATCTAACTTGTTTTTGTTTGAATAACTTATATATAACAGTGTTCTGATGAAAAAAATTTTTTAAACAACTTCAATCATTTATGAGAAAGTTTATATGAAGAAGGACTTGCTACAATATTTAAAATTTTAATGAATCGAACGTGACTATTTATTAAAAGTTTCTTTTGATAGATTTCCGAATATTTTTTTGTATGAAATTAGAATCAAATCTGTATTATGCACAAATAATAAATCTAAAGTTGCAATGTTAAATGACTTGTTTTGTTGTGGAATATATTTTAAAATAAGTATTGATTTTAAGGAATAACATTCTCACAAACTTCTTTTAAATTTTTAAAAATTGATTTTAACTATAATTATAAATGACATAATGGAGGTAATAAGATATTTATTACATATTAATTATGAATAATAAACAAATTTTATAAAAATAGATGTTTACCTCCTGAAGTTGTTTTAAGGCTGTTTCCAATCTAAATGTAAGTTCTTGACACTTTTCACTGAGCTCAGTTACTTTTCTTTTATGGCAATCTGAAGCCTGTTGACGAAGTGAAATTTCTTTATCCATGTTAGCAATTGTTGTCTGCAATACTTTTTCACGTTCTTCAAACTGTTTAGCAACTTCTTCAAAAGCTGCTATTTGGTTAGACATTTGTAACAATTTTTCATTGAGGAGATCTTTTTCTTCCCGAAGAAGCTTTTGAATTTGGTTTGATTTTATTCTCTAAGCAGTATTATTTTTGATGTAAGTTTTAATTTTTTATTTTTTTAATAATATAATTTTTTACTTTTAAATCATTAATTTAAATTATGAATCACTTACCTCTGACATAAGTTTTAAATTAGTATCATCTTTTTCTCTTAATTGGTGCATTAATCGTATGCTTTGTTCTTGCATTTCTTCAAAGGCTTGACCAGTAAACTCCATTTCACTTAATAAGGCATCTTCTTCCTTGATAAATAAATTATTATAAACACAAAGGACGTATGGTTAAAAAATAAACACAAAGGACTTATGGTTAAAAAATAAACACAAATGATGTATGGTTAAAAAATAAACACAAAGGATGTATGGTTAAAAAATCATTTTTGATATATCACAAAATAAATATAAAAATTTTAATTATCAAAAATAATTTAAACTTTTAATTTAAAAGTTATTATTACATTACCCAAGCAAAAAATTTTAACATTTTATATTCGTTATAAAAAAATCATTAACAAAAATTTAAGAGGTTTCAGACCATAAGTTTAAAATTAAAAACAAAATCATTAATAAAAATTTAAGAGGGTTCAGGTCATAAGTTTAAAATTAAAAATTTTTTTTTTTTAGATAGGTTAAGAAACTTTTTTAATTACTCTTAAATTATGTTTGAAGTTTTTGACTTTTTTTTTTAAATTTTAATTTAAAATAATTTAAATATTTATTAATAAAAAAAAAAATTAAAATGTTTATTTAAAAATGTTCATTTAAACTTAAAACCAAAAAATAAAATCTTAACTTAAAGATAAATATTCAAATTCAACATTCAAAAATAAAATCTTAACTTAAAGATAAATATTCAAATTCAACATTCAAAAAGGTATAAAAATATTTAACTGTTTTAAATTTTCTTTATAAAAAACAAAAATATGCTCATTTTTTTTTTTCTTAATTAGGAAACTTTTTCCAGATGATTACTTTCATTAATAACAAACTGAGATTTATAAAAGATAAACAACACACTGGCAGGGTTTCATAATGGCTGTTCAAAAAAATTGTGTTAAAAGTTTAGAGCTTAAAAAAAGCCCTAGTTTTCTTGTTAAAAATTTATTGTACGAACCATCTCCAACATAATTCAGTGTGCTAAAATTAGCTCTGATTATAAATGAGTTGAAGGAAGTTGCTGTGGTGACAGAAAATTGAATGTTTGACCACCATAATGGAGTTTCCCAAAAGCAGGCGGCATGAAATTTGAATATAGCACAGCATTGATTACTTGTTAAAAAAAATCCAGCATCAATTGTCACAAAATAAAAAAGATATCAATTTAATATATGGCCAGAAAGAAAGAACTTGCCAAAAATATGATTGTCTTTATTGGAATATGAATGATATCGGATGATCGATTCCAGTTGGGCTCACAGTACAATCTACGGCTCATAGTATTTTTTTTATTTGCATTCACTCCCAACAAGGCTGCAAGCAACCACTATTAAGTTGGGAGTTACTAGGAAAAAAAAAGAACAGAGTTATAGAGCAAGGAAACGGTTGACAAAAGACTTGAAAAGTTTAAGGTTGTATGAGTCAGGAAAACATGAAGATGGGAGAGAGTTCCAAAGGATTGAAGTGCGGGGAAAAAAACTAGATGAATAAAAGTTTTTAGAGCATGCAGGGACAGATACAGTAAACGAATGAGACTGAATGACGAGTAAAACGAGAATGAATTTTAGTTGATGGAACTAGAGATGATAACTCCTTTGAGCAGTGACCATGATAGTATTTGTAGAAAAGAGAAAGAGATGCAACTTTACGACAATGGGAAAGAGGTTCAAGCTTAGCAGTCCAGGTCCAACAACATTTACAATGCGATTTTGGACCTTGTCAAGAAGAGAAAGTGAATCGTTAGAAGAACCAGCCCAAATATGACAACAATATTCCATACAGGGACGAATAAGAGATTTGTAGAGGTAGAGAATGGAATCAGAAGTAAGGAAATGGTGAGCACGATAAAGAGAAGCAACCTTAGCAGAAGCTAATTTAGCAATCGATTGTATATATGGTTTCCATGAAAGGTCAGTAGTAAGCGATAATCCAAGAAGACGTAAAGAGGAGGACTCAGTAAGAGGATTGCCATTCATTAATATAGAAATGTTGACCATATTACGGTAGTTGTTTGCAGTAAGCAACTGGGTTTTTTTAGAGTTGAAATTCACAAGCCACTGTGAACCCCAATCTATTACTGAAGTGAGATCGGATTCAAGATCAGCTGCTTGTTCTAGGCGATCGAAAAGAGAAGACTTTTTGTCAAGACAGGAGTATAAAGATGAGTCATCAGCAAAAAGAGCTACTTTAGATGAAAGGTTGTCAGGAAGATCGTTTATGTAGATAAGAAACAAAACAGGGCCCAGGATGGAACCTTGGTGAACCCCAGAAGTTACTGGAAATAAAGAAGAGTGTTGGCCTTCAAGGATGACTTTAATAAACCGGTTAGAAAGAAATGATTTGATAATCTCAAAATCTTTCCCAGAAACACCATATGAAGCAAGCTTATGGAGAAGACCAGCATGCCAAACTTTGTCGAAAGCTTTAGATATGTCGAGAGCAACAGCCCTAGCCTCACCGCCTCCATCTAATGCACGATAAAATCTTTCAGTTACAGCAGTTAGCAAGTCGGCCGTAGAGCGAGAGGATCGAAAACCTTATTGATTGTCTGACAGTAGTTTATTTGACTCAAGATGAGATGTGAGGAATTTGTTGATCAAAGACTCAAAGACCTTGCTAATAACAGAAAGAAGACTGATCGGATGATAATTGGAGGGGTCAGAATTTTCTCCAGAGTTTTTGAATATTGGAACTACAGATGCCATTTTCCAACAAGCAGGAAAACAAGACTCAGTCAAACACTTGTTAAATAGTTTAGAGAGAATTAAAGAAAGTTCTGGGGAACAATTCTGCAAGACTGTGACAGGAATATTGTCTGGACCACAAGCTGTAGACGAGTTTAATTGAGATATGACTTTTGCAACAGAAGCGGGAGTGATTTAAATGTCTAACAATGGGTCAACCTGTTTGACTGGAATGGAAGGAAGAGAATGTCCATAAGATTCAAGAGTGGAATTAGAAGAAAAGTTCTTTGCAAATAGTTCTGCCTTATCCTTGGGAGAGGTAGATCTACCCTTGTTAATAATGCTGTTGAAGATTTTCCAAAAGTCTTTAGAGCCTAACTTCTGCGATAAGATACGAGATTTAGTGAACTGAGAATAATGGAGTTTAGCATCAGAAAGCACCTTTTTACATCGATTTCTTGCAATAATAAATAGCCGTTTGTTCTCAAGAGAGTTGTTCTTTTGAAAAAGATGAAAAAAATGATTATGATTGGATATAGCAGCCGCACAAGAAGGAGAAAACCATGGAGTAGAATGAGGCTTGACTTGAAACCGACGCGAAGGAATAAAAGCTTCCATTCCAGCCTGAATCCAGGAGGTTACGTAGGAGGCGCATTTGTCAGCTGAGAGAGAAAAAACATCAGCCCAAGGACCATCACGAAGAAAATCACGAAAGGAATCCCAGTCAGCTTTAGGGTAGTAGTAGGTGGTGCGATGATAAGGTGAGCCCAAAAAAGAAGTACGAGAAGAAAGATTTATAGAGATCATTGCATGGTCAGAACCACCTAAGGGAGAAAAGGGGGAAACTGAACATAAGCTAGGGTCAGAGACAAGACATAAGTCAAGGAGTGAAGGTAAATGATTAGGGTTGTCAGGAAAACGAGTCACAAAGTTAACTATCAGAGTAAGAGATAGAGAAACGCAGAAGTTAAAGGCTTTAGTGCCAGCAGGATCAGTGGTGTTAGAGCCAAGCCATTCAGTGTGATGGGTATTAAAATCAACAACAACAACAATATTGGCAGAGGGGTAAAGAGAGAGGACATGGTCAATTTGATTAGAGATAACATCTAAAAGAGTGCAATCATGGGAAGAAGGAGAACGATAAAGAACAGAGAAAGGTGATAGAGTGAAGAGGTGCTAGGCGAAAGCACATAAAAGAGTGGTCAAAGGATTCGAACCTGATTTCACGACAAATAGGGGAATTAATGCGTATGTATACCCCTAAACCTAGCATGTGACTATTGGAGTCTTTACAAATCAAAGGATAGTACCCATCAACACTGACATCTGAAGAAGGAATTGCAGAACTTAAATTGTTTCACTGAGTGCAAGCAAGTCTGGTGAATTTTGCAGGAGGTAAGACTCAACTGATGGAAAGTTGCTTCGTAGACCGCGAATATTTGTAAAAGATATATTTAAATATTTAGGTGGTGGGGATGGTTTTTGAGTTTTAAATTTTTGGTTACTTTGGTCATGATTTGGGTTTAATGAGAACTAGACTCATTCATAGATAGAGCACAGCTTCCTAATCAATGAGCTATGCAGTTGTCTCAGTCCTGTTAATTAACCCTAAGCCGTGACATAGGGCTTCTTATGTGGCCTTGACAATGCACACCAAAACAAGGGACACCATCCATGCGCAACATAGCACTGTTAATACTCTGATATTTTGCAGCTGTTGATGGAATCAGCCTCTCTAAGAGCTACCACAGAGTTCGGGAAACCTTACTAACAGCCGGCCTCAGAACCGTTAAACTGAGTTTTAGAGCTGTACCCTCATATGGAGATAACAGGATGAGTTGCATAGCCATTACCAAGGAGGCATAAGCAAAATTCTATGAGTAGAGTCAAGGAGATCCAGCATTCATCATCCTAGGCAGGAAACAATGTAACACAGGTTACATCTACGCCAGCCTAATAGATGAAGAAGGGGTTCGAGGCTGGATAGCAGAATTTTTCTGCTTACCACTAAAGTGTTTGCCTAAGAGGCCTTTTACAAGACAGTAGCAGGATGCAGTTAACATCTGCCCAAGATGAGTATTTTTATCGAGACACCATCTCTAGCCTTTACTCAACCAAGAGCCCCAAGGCAGGGGATGTTTAGCTGGATGCAGTTAACATCTGCCCAAAATGAGTGTTTTTATCAAGACACCATCTCTAGCCTTTACTCAACCAAGATCCCCAAGGCAGGGGATGTTTAGCTGGATGCAGTTAACATCTGCCCAAGATGAGTGTTTTTATCGAGACACCATCTCTAGCCTTTACTCAACCAAGAGCCCCAAGGCAGGGGAATTTTTAGTCGGAGTTTATTTCTCCTAGCCTTTGCCTAAGAAGAGCACACTCTGCAAGGCAGCAGGGCTTGTGGCAGGTGGTACTGGGTTACGTGATACCAGTAGCAAGATTGATCTTGATTATCCTGACCTGATAATCAATGACAACAATATTTTTCAATTAAGCAATAATGAACTCATGCATGAGTAAAATATAGAAAAAATGCAAAATTTTACCAAAAAATCTGGTTGTGCATTTCTGATAAAGGAGTGTCGAAATCAGAATGTTGTCCACAGGATTTTTGGAGTGTTCTATAAAGAATAGTATGTGTAAAGAACTAGCGGGCGGGAAATATGCAACAACTTCATATTAGAATAAATTCCTACCTCAAGAAAATTAACAAAAACATTATAAAAGACCTAACCAAGTCAACTTCAATACATTTCTGTATTAGGGAGTAATGACAATTTATAAATTTCACAAAATTTTGTTGAACACCCAATAAAAGATATTATTTTATAATAACTACAATGTTTTATAAGAGATATTGATATTTAAGATATTCCATCACAAGTTTTTTCAATTATATTATACAGGTTTATACTTTTGTAGTAACAACAAAAGCTTTAGAATAATCAAAAACTCTTAATATAATTAAATAATAAAACAGCAAACAGCATACTTTTATAAAAGAAAAAAAAAAAATACAACAGCATACTTTTACATAAAGAAAAAAAAAATCTTTATCTTAATTTTTTAAATTAAATATAAAAAACCTGTTTAGTGTTAGATATAAACTTTTGAAGTTCATCAATTTTAGCTTGTAATCTTTTACATTCTTTTTCATGATCTTGATTAGCAAATCGCCTTGCTTGTTTCACTGTGTCAGCAGTTACTACAGATAGCTTTAACTTTATCATTTCTAGTTTATCTTTAAGCGTTTTTTCATTTTTTAATAACTAAATTAAATATAACATAAACATAAATATACTATATAAAACTATTAAATAACTTGTTTTCACAAGTCATGCAAAAAATAATTAAAAAATTAAAAAAAAAAAAAAAGTATAACTATAAAGTATTAAAACAATTCTTAATAAAATTTTTATAATATTGTCTAACTTATACATAGCCCAACTTAAGGTTCATCAACATTAAGTTCTCCAACATAAAGTTGATCAACATTAAGTTCTCCAACATAAAGTTGATCAACATTAAGTTCTCCAACATAAAGTTGATCAACATTGGGTCCTCCAACATAAAGTTCATCGATATTGAGTCCTCCAACATAAAGTTGATCAATATTGAGTCCTCCAACATAAAGTTGCTCAACATTGGGTGCTCCAACATAAAGTTCATCAATATCGAGTCCTCCAACATGAGTATACTAGACTTTATTAAGCAGACAAAATTGAATATTTTTTGCATTATTGCAAAATTGCTACCTTTATTTTTATTTACATGTGCTATCATGACTACCATTCTAATAATTCCACCTAATAAAATTTATTAAAGAACTTCTTAGTTCTACTAAAAAAAATTTCAAGAAACTTTTTATATTTTCCTGATTCTCTAAAAAGATATAACAACAAATAAAACACTCTCTGCTTGTTGTTTTTTTGATACTTGGCAAGCTTTTAAGTCTTATGTATTTCATTACCGCAATTATAACTATTGCTATTTATTTTTTTAGTAACTTGTTATTGTGTTACAGTAAATATTTAGTAACTTTTCATTAAAACTAAACTTATGCAGTGTTATAGTAAGTACTTAGTAACCTTTCATTAAAACTATGGCTATCATTATAACTTTACAATAAGCAGAGTAAACTATTACTTAAAAATAAACTACATTAAGTTGTTTTTAATAACCTATATACATATGAATATTATACACAAATATCAAATTTGATTAATAGATATTTAAACATAAATATTTAAAACATCATTTATAAAATGAATTAAAACAATAACCTCAGCTTTATCTCTTGTTTCTTTAGAAACACCTTTATACATGTCTAAAAGTAGTTTCATTTCTTTTCTTTTCTCACGAGCGCTCCTATATAAATTATTTATTCTAAATAAACTATTTTGATTTCAATAAAAAGTAAATAACAGAAAATACCATTGTTATAATTCTTTTTAACTAAAAAATTTTTTATGGTGGTATGACATTCGAAATTGTACTGATATACAAACATTTTATGCATATACAATAACATATGTAAAATATAGATTTAAATTTGACCTATATTTTCAAGTTGCTCTGTTAAAAAAAATAACACTAACTTAAGTTTGTTTTTTAAAACCTTCAGATCATCACACTCAAATCCTTCCATGCTTGATTGACTAGATCCTGAATGAGGTGAACACATTGTTTCAATCCTGTCTATGTAACTTTCGGTACTATCTTCTTCCATTGGAGGTATATCCTTCTCTAACTAAATAAAAAACAATAATTTGTTAAATATAACTCGTTTCAATGTATAACAACCAGATTAAAAAAAAAAAATAGTAAACAATATTTCAAATAGAATCAATAATATAATGAAAAAATCAATACTCTAAATGATATTGTTTAGGATATAAACTAACTACAGGTAATAAAAAACTAAACTGAATATTTTAACTAAAAATTATACTAACTACAACAATATAACTATTACAATAAGCAGATTGAAAAAACAAACATAACAACAACCACAACAACAACAACAACAAAAAAGATAAAAAAACAAAGCAAATATTGCAATTTTGAAAAAAATTTTCCTCTTCAAACAACAACAATAAAATAAAACAACAACAATACAAGAAAAACAACAACAATAGTATTGGAATCTTATATAAAGCTAGAATATATTTAAAAAGTTTAAAGAAACTTTGCAACACGGCTGTTTCACTCAATATAAAAGCCAGTCTGACGTCACAAGAGTTTTTGTGTTTTTAAAAATAAAAAATATTTCCACATAAAAAGTATAAAAATTCACTAACATTAAAATAATATAATTTTTTTTCTATAAACGCTTTCATCTTCAAGTTAAAAAAATATAAAAGAACTACCTTTCTTCGTTTTATAAATATTTACATTAGACGAAATAAAAATAAACATTGTTATTTAAAATGATTTGGGATCACTTTTGTATTTTTTAAGCCAACCAAGATTTGATAACATAGCTACATGGTTGATGGTTGAAATTTGGAATATTTATCCATGAATGTCTATTCTATCTGATTTTCGGTGATTGTAAATAATTTTTTTAGCAAAAATTAGTTTTTAATGCATTTATATTTTTGTTTTAACTTTTATATGTAAAATATAATTTTTTTGTAACGATCACAAAATTAACAAGTTTTCAATCTTTTATGCACACGAAAATCCAAATATTGTTATTTTTTTTTTTTTTTTATTTTTTTTTTTAATTTTAATTCACCTCCTCAAGGCCGAGAAGGCCACTACAGACAAGGAGGCTATTTATTTGTGGTTATAACCCTCTCTCAACTCTATAACTCCGAAACACGAACCTTGACGAGCAAGGCCGCTGCGCGGAGAAACGAGTTGAGCGCGGTACTACCAGGGACGTGGTGGGGATCGAACTCGGAACCACTCGTTTATGAAGCGAGCGCTCTACCACTACACCACTACGGCTAATTTACACCTCTAGCTATGTTACCAAATATGTCTTTAAACTTGGCTGGTTTACAACATTTTGTCTATTTTAATGCGTATATTTTTGATTACATTTTAAAACAATCACGTGACCTTTAATATTTTACAAGTAAAAAAGTAGTGATTTGCTTTACTGACATAAATATTGCCTGTTTCAGTTAAGAACCAAGTTTGAATAAATTTCTTTTTAAGTTAAAGTGGTCTTACAATGTATATATTTAATAGTAATTATCTAAAATATGTTTTTTTAATTTTTTTTGATAAAAAGTGACAACAAATTACTAAAACTTAGCAAAGCTCATCATTTGGCGCGTTTTATCTAAAATCGAAGAAAGTTTTCAATCATTCATTTAACGTCATATGGTAAAACTTTTTATTGGTGTTACTATTCTTTTTACAGAACAAAATTATCTCTAATATTTAAAAAATTTAAAAAGTTTTAATTAAGTAGTTATTTAAAAAAAACAAGAAGAAGCCGTAAAGCTCACTTTGAAACAGGCGTGGCAACTCATATTCAATTAGAGAATGTCTGCATTAAAAGAACACTCAGTTAAAAGAATTTATATAAACAATAAGCTCAAATGGTCTGATCAAATAAATCAAAAAACACTAAAGGCTAATATGGTTATAAAAATGCTCAAGAGAACTTAAAAAAAAAGGAATGTGTATGTTTCTTATATATATATATATATATATATATATATATATATATATATATATATATATATATATATATATATATATATATATATATATATATATATATATATATATATATATATATATATATATATATATATATATATATATAAGAATACATATTATTTGTAGACAAAAATAAATGTTTTAAATATATATTAATTAAATTGTCAAAATTTTAAAAGTTTATTATAAATTATAGATTTTATTAGTATATTCTTATTTTTTATTTAAAAAATAAACATTCTTTATGTAAATGTAATTTTGTTTTTTATTTGTATCTTTTAAAGCAATTTTAATGATTTAAACAAAGACTTACAAAATAATTTTCAATGAATGACTTACAAAAAGCTTTCAATGAAGTTATAATCATTAAAGTTTATAAAACTAATTATGTAACAAACATATAAGAAGTTTCTGGTTACTAAACGCAAACAAGCATACAAAGTAACTCGCGGAAGAACAAGCACCGCGCCTGAGGTCACGACAGAACACAAATATATATAGCAAATAATTAGATATAAAAAGAAGTTTCTAGATATTGGTTTACTTACTCTAATTATTTTCGCTTAAGTTGGCATTCTTAAAACTTGTTATACTTTTTTCTGCTTTAAATACAAATTAAAATTAAAAAGCCCACTCACTAAACATCATCAGTGATATTGTGAAGCAGTTTCGCTTCCTCGTCATAAAGTATTTTTAACCTTTTTAGTTGATTTCTATCTTGTTAATTTAATTTCTATATAAATTCAATGATTTAATTATTTCATTTGTTTATCTTACTAAGAAGAATTGCTTCAAATATATTAAACTTTTCAAACTACGCGAAACATAAAATAGGTATTGCAAAAATTAACTTTTTTATTTATAAAATAATTTAGCTTAAATAAAACTAAAACTTGCAAACTAAGTTAAATAAAGAACATTTGTTTCCTTTTTAAACAATCGTAAGATTGTTTAAAAGGAAACATATTTTTATAAAAAGAAACGTGTTACTTTATATAAAAAAAATCGCTTAATTTTATAAAAAAAATTATAAAAGAGCGATGTTTCGAAAATATTTGTTCTAAATGTAATTTATTTAGTTTTAAGTTTTTTCGCTTAAAGATATTTTATTTGCTTAATTTTTTTTTTTGTAATTGTCTCTCATCGGTCCAATTAATCTTTAGCACTTTTTTTTTTTGCTTTTTAAAATGTTCTCAAAGCGACTTAAAAAATATGGCCAACTTTTCGCAACTAAATATTATTTACAGCAATCGAGAGCGATCGCTCCACTTCCCGACCAAGTCTGATATATATATATATGTATTCATATATATATATATATACAGGCCTTGCGATGAATAAGAACTGCGCGACGCATAAGCACGACGTGATTTTTGACGTCACTAAATTCTTTTTATTTGCTTTTCATATTTATCGACATTAACTGCACCAATTTACTTAATTACCGCAAAACTACTTTATATCGTTTATGTGGAAATGTTATTAATTAAAAATGTTTTGGAATGTCTCGTTTTTTAAAATGTAAAAACATTTATTTATTTTCTCGACGTTTGTCACACTAAACGAATAAAAAACATTATAACTTAAATTTAAAAAAGATTATAAAATATGCTAATGTTTGATTTTTTTTTTCTTAAATATGTAATTTAAAGTTTTTCAAATAATTATTTTTTCTTTTTAAAAAGTCAGCAGTAATAAACTGGAAATTTTAATATTGTACGATTAAAAACAATAGCTAGTATTTTTACAAGCGATTTTATATAATATTTATTTATTTTTATTTATTTTCATAAAGCGGTTGATAAGCACAATCACTCGTATTAATAAAAAGCTTAAACGAACGTTTTGAATAGTCTTTTAATGTTAACAAGGAATTTTTTTTTCTAGTAAAATAAAATAAAATGTTAGAATAAAAATCTTATAGGTATAAAGAAAATATTTCAGCGAAAAAATTATTATTAAAAATTATTCGAAAAACTATTGACGTTTTATTTTTCAGCAGCTGTTCTTGAGCACGCTTCGTTGAGTTTCGGTAACTTTTAACATAAAAGCGATCGTTATTATTTAAGTAATTTTTTTGAGTTACTTTTCACAAAAATTTTAATAACTGTACTTTTTTATTGAATCAAGTGAAATCAATTGAATCAAAAAATTTTAATATTAATCCTTTTTTTTTTTTTTTTTATTTTCGCTCACCGATTTTTAAAATGTTTCCTCGAAATTACTCTTAAATACTTTAAATAAGTCTAACAGTTAATAAATATTTTTAAATCTATAGAATAATTTTAAAACCTAACAAACCCCCGTAAAATAATTATTCAAGTTTAAAATCTAAAACTAAAAGAAAGTATTTTTGTTCAATTTTATCGACAACTTTGCTATTGCTGAATAATTTTATTAAAATGTTAGCTTAAAAGATTTAAACTTTTTTTTTAATCTGAATTTTTTCTACTTGTAAATAATGAGCATATTTAATTTTTTTTAATTCAAACTTTTATTTCAACTGCGTGCGGTTTTTAAAATACATTATTAAATGTTAAAATAATCGTAAATTACTTCATTAAAATTCCGCTCAAAAATATCTTTAAATATACTTAAACAAAAATTTTTTTGCTCGACGCAAATAGCCCTACCTACACGCAAAATCGCTTTTGGACGACGTAAAATTCACATCACCCGACGCTTTATCGCAAGGCCTGTATATATATATATATATATATATATATATATATATATATATATATATATATATATATATATATATATATATAATGTGAAAACACTTCTATGTATTAATTATGTTATTTAAAAGATGTAACTACATCTATAGAACCCACAGATGTAGTTGCAAAGATTTTATTACAATTTTAAAATTATAACAACTTTTATTTATTCATATACAATAATTTCATTTTAAATAATAACTTAAAAAAGTTTTATCTATAAAAACAAAACACCTCTTTATTTTTCTTCTGAGCTTCAGAAATTTTAATTTTGCACCTTTGTACCTCACCTTTCAACTGTTGATTGCTATTCTAATTTTTAAATAATTAAAAAAGTATATTCATTTTTTACTTTTAATTTATAATATTAATAATATAATTTAATATTAAATAATACTTGAAGGCTATTAATAAGATGTCTCATTTCTTTTGCCATAGGAGCAATTTGCTCGTGAGCACGCATATTATGTTCGTATTCAACACGCAGCAGTTCTAAATCCCTGCGTGTATCCAATAAAGACTTCTCCAGAGCACTTATCTCCCCACGCACTTTTTTTTTTATTTTTTCGTTTTCTGCCTTAATTAAAAAAAAAAAAAAAGAAACATTAAAAAATACATATATAAAAACTAGACTATAAAAAAATAGACTTATTCATGGTAAATAATTAAAAATGTAACAATTGCTTTTAATATCTCAAAAATAGATCTCCAAAAAAAAAAAAAAAATGGTGATAATTGTAAACAACTGTTAATTGCAGTTTCTGTTAGCAACACAGTACAAGTGAATTTTACAAGTTAAAATAAGAGATTTAGTTGAAAGTTTAAAAAAAAATATATATATCTTTCTTAATTTCTTTAAACTGAATTCTAGAAAGACATAGGTTAGAAAGACATAGGTTTGAAAGACATAGGTTAGAAAGACATAGGTTAGAAAAAAAGGTTAGAAAAAGAAGCATTAATATATGGAGAAAAGACATATTTTAAAACCAAATATACTAGAACCAAACCTCTAGAAAGAATTAAGTTCCATGATAATTTTTTACGTAACGGTAGTTAATTTATTAAGGGGGTTAACTTATGACACCGGTATTTGATATGTATGGTTAGGAATTTCTTAATTTTGTATAAATAGAAGCAAATTTAAATGCCCATTAACTTGGTTCATCTGTATATATAAAAGAGAAACAACCATTATTTATTAACTTTTATAAACTATATTATTTATACAGCTACCATTACGGCAAAGGTCATAATGATAGATATGTGTAAATAATATAGTTGTTTAAGTAATATAGTTTCATATTTATGTTTAAAATAATAAAAATTGTAACACGAACATAAAAGAAATTACATTAAATTTTTTTTTGAAAGAACAATAAAAAAACAAGTTTAATATTATTCTAAACAAACTGTAATGAATGTAGACGAAAATAACATTCTGTTAAATTTTGTATTGTAGAAACACATTACATTTGAACACTAATTTCATTACTAGAGAAATTTTGCATTTAAAAACAAGTTTTCATCTCATTCAAAAGCTCATTTAATCGATTGATTCGATCGAGGAAGCAAACGAAATGTTGAATTTACTTGACATTAACTTGTAATTACTTATTATTGTAACTTTATACAAACACATTAACTTAAAACTATGTTGCAACTTTATACAAACACATTAATTTATAACTACATTGTAACTTTATACAAACACATTAACTTATAACTAAGTTGCAACTTTATACAAACACATTAACTTATAATTACATTGCAACTTTATTTGTTATAACCATAACATTGTCAGTCCCTGTGATTATACCTAAACAGATGCTTATCACATCTGTTGGGGTATAATCACAGGAAACATAGATGACATTTGGTCTTTTTAGAAGCAGAACCTATAAAACATTCCTGTCTAAAATTAGCATGCAGAATAATGTATCTATTTTCAAACCAACTAAAAATCTAAAGGTGATTGCAGAATTTATCGTAAAGGTTTTTTAAATTGGTTAAATAACAAATATTTAACTGATAGCCCCAAAAACATTCAACAGTCCCAAAAACCTATTTAATGCATATCATAATAATAATAATACAATAAATTTCCTGATTCAAATGCTAAGAAAAATTGTTAAAAATTTATAGATAATAAAAGTTATTTTGTTCATGGTGAAAATATTCTTATTAGAATGTTAGCTGACAAGGATGAAATATAGTTTAGTAATTAGAAGTACAGTAGTTGATAAAATTTTGCATTTGAAAGACCTCATAGAAGACTTTCCTGGTGAAGATAATTTTCTAGGGGGAATGGTTGAGAATGATAATAACAATAAAGCCAATGCTAATAAAAGCAATTATTCCTCAATGAAATGTTCCTAAAGCTCAAGATTAATTTCAAATATTAAAATAATTTTTCAATGACACACAATTCTACTAGTTTTGAGACTGATTAAAGAAGATAAAATAGTCGAATTTCAGTTAGATAAAATAGTTGAATCACAGAGAAAGAGTTAGAAACAAAAATAGGTACAGGAAATTAATTTAAAAATTCATATCAAAAAGTGATTTTAAACTGTAATACTTTATATATTTTGTTGTATTTTATACGTAAATAACCACTGCATTACAATTTTAAGGATTTTGTATCTTGATAGTTAATTTGAACATTAATGTAATATATTGAAAGTATCAGTTGTCATATTTTTTTAATATATGCCACTATTTCAACTAAAAAACAATAAAAAATTTAGATTTTTGGTCATAATTTCGTAAATATAGTTTTTAGAAAAAAAGTGTTATTTTAATAAACAATATTCTAAATTCATTTTGCATCATTTGATACCCAATTGATGCTTGTAGCTTGTTTTATAATGCATTTATGATTATTTTTGCATTTTTAACCCATAAAAATGTGAAATTTTTTACATTTGTTTTGTTTTAAATAAATATAAGAAAAGATTTAAATCTCAAAGAAAAATATTTTTAAAGATTGCATGAGCAAATCTTTAAAAACAATTAATTTAAGAGGAAATCTTTTTTTTTGCTTAAAAAATAAGCAAAAAAACTGTTTTAATTCTTTTGGTTACTATTTGTTGATAGTATTAGTAGACTTACATGAAAATCTGATAGCAATAATATACACCAAACTTTTTTTTTTTTTATTATGCACTTTCATATTAAAGAATATTTTAAATACTTAACAATTCTTTAAAAAAAATCTTTTTAAAGTTTTTAAAATAATCCACTAAAATATCTGATTTTTTTCTTTGTCAAACTTCAGATATTTTAGTGGATTATTTTAAAATAATCCACTAAAATATCTGAAGTTTGACAAAGAAAAAAATCAACATTTTTAAAGTTTTTAAAATAATCCACTAAAATATCTGGTTTAACAAAAAAAAAAAAAAAAACAACAACAACAACAACAAAAAAAAACAATAAACAACAACCAATAAATAATTAATGCATACTTATCATTAAGGCCATGCAGTTGAAGATTTTTTCAGTTTGATCTTAAACCTGAAAACCTCAGTTTTTTATGGTTTAGTTTGAACTTATATCTTTTGGTTTAAACTTTTATCAGTTCACTTTCAATTTCAGTTTGGTGAAGAAAAAAAAAAACTTTTCAGAGATCATTTAATACATCTATCCAATACCAAAAGCGCATCTTTTATTTTGATACATTGTCAACACCCAGCATAGTTCATCTAACAGTAATAACATTACAGACAATAGAGAAAGTTTAGAAGTTGCTAAGTTACAAACAAGTATTTTCTTGTATTTAGTATATCTTGTATACATTACGATGACGTGATGATGGTTGAAGGTTGGCTGCAAGAGCAGGTACTACAATGTTTACAATGCATTTTTGCATCTTGTCTAAAAGAGAAAGGGCATCATTAGAAAATCTGCCCCAGATATGGCAACAGTATTCCATACAAGGACAGATTTGAGATTTATAAAGATAAAAAAAAAAATCCAGAGTATGAAAGTGTCGACTTTAGCAGATGCTAATTTTGCAACAGATTTGATATATGGTTTCCAAGAAAGATCAGAAGTAAGAGCTAATCCTTAGAAGATGAAGGGTAGATGAATCATCAATTACATTAATGTTCATAAATATAGAAAGATCTAAATTATTGCGATAACGATTGGCTGAAAAAAATTGAGTTTTATCTGAATTAAAGTTCACCAGACACAGTGAGCCCCATGCTGTAGCAGAAGTAAGATCTTTTTCAAGCTCAAATGTCCCCTCCAAGCAATCAGAGAGAGTTGGCTTCTTATCATGACAAGAATAATTGGTAGTATCATCAGCAAACAATGCCACCTTAGCTGTGAGAATATCTGGAAGATTGTTAATGTAAATTAAGAAGAGTATAGGGTCAAGGATTGAACCTTGAGGAACCCCTGAGGTTGCAGAATAAGAAGAAGAGTGCTGTCCATCAAGAACAACTTTTATACTACAATTGGAAAGACAGGATTCAATAATCTTAAAGATGTTTCCAGATACACAGTAAGAAGAAAGCTATGGAGAAGACCAGCATGCCAAACTTTATTAAAAGCTTTAGAAATGTCAAGAGCCATGGCCTTAATCTCTCCACCTTTATCTATTGCACGATAAAACCTATTTATTGTTACTGTTAGCAAATCAGCCTTAGAACAAGAAAATGGAAATCCATATTGATGATCAGAAAGTTAGTTATTAGATTCAAATTAAGAGATTAAATGTTTGTTAATTAAAGATTCAAAAACCTTGCTTATGATAGGAAGAAGACTAATGGGACGGTAGTTAGACGAATCAGATCGCTCTAAAGATTTTTTAAATATAGGGATAACAGATGCTGCTTTCGAGCAGGCAGGAAAACAAGACTCTGATAAGCACTTGTTGAATAGTTTTGAAAGAATAGAAGATAGATCCGGAGAACACTTCTGCAAGACTATAACAGGTATGTTGTCCGAGCCACAAGCTGTAGAAGAGTCTAAGCAGGAAATCACTTTAGATACAGAAGCTGGAGTGATACGACTGTCAAGCAATGGATCAACCTGTTTGACGGTTATATCAGGTAGAACGCAACTAGTGGAATCAAGAGATAATATTGATGAAAAGTTCTTAGCAAACAATTCAGCTTTGTCTTTAGGTAAGGTTACAAAATCTGAACCATACAAAAGAAGTGGAATTACAGACTTACCCTTATTATTGATACTATTAAAGATTCTCCAGAAGTCACAAGAGCCTAATTTTTTGAAGAAATACAAGATTTCATGACCTGAGAATAGCAGGCTTTGGCATTAGATAAAACCTTATTACAATGGTTCCTAGCAGTAATAAACAGACGTCTGTTTTCTGGAAAAATGTTTTGCTGATAGATATGGAAGTAATGGTTTCAATTGGTAATTGCAGCAGCACAATGTGAGAAAAACGATGGAGAAGAGTGAGGCTTGACCTGGAACTGTCGAGAGGGAATAAAGGAGTTCATGCCAGCCTGAATCCACGAAGTTATGTAAAAAGCACATTTGTCAACAGCAAAACGAAAGATTTCTACCCAAGGACCATCACGAAGAAAATCAAGGAAAGAGTCC